AGGCAGAGGCAGGAGAATCGCTTGAACCTGAAAGGTAGAGGTTGCGGTGAGCGGAGATCACACTACTACACTCCAGCCTGGGTGACAGAGCGAGACTCTGTCTCAGAAAAAAATAAATAAAACAAAATAAACCAGAATAAGTGCATAAGTGAAACTAGGTGTAGAGTATATAGGAACTTTCTGTACTATCTTCTCAATTTTTCTATAAATATAAAACTTTTCTGGCTGGGCATAGTGGCTCACAACTATAATCCCACACTTTGGGAGGCCACGGCAGAAGGATTTCTTGAGGCCAGGAGTTTGAGACTAGCCTGGGCAACACAGCAAGACCCCATCTCTATGAAAAAATTTTAAAAATGAACTGGGCATGGTGGCAACATGCCTGTAGTCCTAGATACTAGGGAGGCTGAGGCAAGAGAATCACCTGATCTCAGGAGGTTGAGGCCTCAGGGAGCCAATGATCTATCACATCATTGTACTCCAGACTGAGCAACAGAGCAAGATCTTGTCTCTAAAAAAAATAAAAATAAAAAAATAGAAATAATTTTTTTTTAGATAGAGTTTCACTCTCGTCGCCCAGGTTGGAGTGCAATGGCGCCATCTCAGCTCACTGCAACCTCTGCCTCCCAAGTTCAAGCAATTCTCCTGCCTTAGCCACCTGAATAGCTGGGATTACAGGTACCTGCCACCACACCTGGCGAATTTTTCTATTTTTAATAGAGACAGGGTTTCATTATATTGGCCAGGTTGGTCTCAAACTCCTGACCTCAAGTGATCATCCTGCCTCGGCCTCATAAAGTGCTGGTATTACAGGCATGAGCCACCACGCTTGGTCAAAAATAGAAACAAAACTTTCTAAAAAATAGTTTGTTTTGTGCCAGGCACGGTGGTTCACACTTGTAGTCCCAGCACTTTGGGACACCAAGGCAGGCAGATCACCTGAGGCCAGGAGTTCAAGACCAGCCTGCCAACATGGTGAAACCCTATCTCTATTAAAAATACAAAAATTAGCTGGGCATGGTGGCACGGCCTGTGGTCCCAGCTACGCAGAAGGCTGAGGTGGGAGGATCGCTTGAACCCAGGAGGGGCAGGTTGCAGTGAGAGGAGATCGCACCACTGCATTCCAGCTTGGGTGACCAGAGTAAAACTATCTCAAAAATCAAAAACAAACAAACAAACAAAGTGTTTTAAAAAAAAAAAAAAAAAAAAGTGTGACTAGTTCTTGCTCAAATTACAGTAAAGTAGGATCACACAGAAGCAAAAGGAGACAAAATTAAGTAATAGTCCCATCTGACACTGTCAAGGGGCTGATACGGACTATAGTTAGTACTCATACATGGAAAAGTTCAGGTGTTTGCAGTGTTAACTTTTTAAATATTACAGCCACTTCTAGAATCAACAGGACTTAATGAAGATTGGAATAAATGAGTCGATAATAATAAGGATACTATTCTCTATCCTAAAATGAAAATACACCTTAGAAAGGTGGTTCTCAACTAGGGGTAGTTTTGCTCCCTAAGAAACATTTGGCCATGTCTGAACTCATTTTTGATTGTCAGGACTGGGGAGGTCCTGCTGATATCTTGGGATGTGGCTAAACATGTAACATCCATCTTCATTCCAAAATGTCAACAGTCCCAAGGTTAACAAACCCCATCTTAGAAGAAGGCTGGAGCCACTGAACCTATGCTTTGAGATAACTTTATCATAGAAATCTTAAACCAATAGGGCTTATTTGTTTAGAAATATTGATACCTGCCAGGCACAGTGGCTCACATTTGTAATTCCAGCACTTTGGGAGGCTGAGGCAGGAGGATCACAAGGTCAGGAGTTCGAGACCAGCCTGGCCAACACACTGAAACCCCGTCTCTACTAAAAATACAAAAATTAGCTGGGTGTGGTGGCAGACGCTTGTAATCTCAGGTACTTGGGAGGCTGAGGCAGGTGAATCACTTGAACCCAGGAGGCAGAGGTTGCAATCAGCGGAGATCATACCACTGCACTCCAGCCTGGGCAACAGAGCTAGACTCCGTCTCAAAAAAAAAAAAAAAAAAAAAAGATACCTTGCTAACTAGTATGGGATGTATTAAAATATATGGTTTTGAAAGTATTATTTAAAGGAAAGTTAATAATTGACATTCCAATTTATCTAAACCTTTGAAATTTTGTAAAAGCAAAAAAAGACAACAAATGCATGCTAAAAAAAAAAAAAAAAAAAAATTTGACATACACAGATACTCCATGACTCTAACAATACTGAGTAAAAGAAACCAGACACCAAAAAATACAGTTTGCACAACTCCATTTATACAAAGCTCAAGAACAGGCAAAAACTGATCTTTTACATTAGAAATCAGAAAAGTGGTTCCTTTAGAGAAAAAGGAAAAGTAGAGATGGGAGAGAACATAAGGAGGACCTCCAGGATATCAATAATTTTGGAGGTTTTTTTTTTTTTTTTTTTTTTTTTAAAGACAGAATCTCACTCTGTCACCCAGGCTGGAGTGCAGTGGCACAATCTCGGCTCACTGCAACCTGAGCCTCCCAGGTTCAAGCGATTCTCCTGCTTCAGCCTCCCAAGTAGCTGGGATTACAAATGTGCACCACCACATCTGGCTATTTTTTTTATTTTATTTTATTTTTGTATTTTTAGTAGAGACAGGGTTTCGCCAAGTTGGCCAGGCTGTTCTCAAACCTCTGGCCTCAAGTGATCCCCCCACCTCAGCCTCCCAAAGTGCTAGGATTACAGGCATGAGCCACTGCACCCAGCCAAAATTTTGTATTTCTTAATCTGGGTAGTGCTTACATAACTGTTCCCTTGGTGACAATTCATCAACTGAATACTAATAATCTGTGCACTTAACTATATACAGATAAAACTTCAACAAAATTGTATTGATACTATTTATACACTAAAAACCTGAGCCTTTTGACCCCAAAAGCTAAATTAATGTCAACTGCAAAAGTAAAAGTGCTTTGTTATATAGGCTGCCTTCCAAGAATTCAAGGATGACACCCCCAGAAAGCTGTAAATAGCATACTCGGCACTCATATAGCATTCAGCTGTACACTTAAGCCACTATATATCCCTCGGCACCAATCCAAAAATTTGACAAACACAAATGAGGCTGAAATTATTCCATCAACAGTTTGTTTGCATTAGTTTTCCCAGTGTTAAACTGTGAACTGTTATCAGAGAACAGGCTCCATGAAGTAAATGATGCTTTCTCTTTCCTAATCCCACATGCTCTCGAAGCTCCCCCAAACTAAATCCTTCTTGGCCCCTGACCTCCTTAGGACTTCTCCAGACTGTTTCTAAGGGTGCTCCCTATTCCCTCTCCCAGTATCCACCCTCACACTCTACCTCCTACACGTACAAAAACTCACATTAATGCTCACTCCAGAGACGTGTCTCCCTAGCCAGACTTCTACCCTCTTCCAGTATCTCACAATACAATCCAAACTCCCACTACCCTCAAACTCCTACTATTCAGAAATTCCCTGCCAACAGCATCACAAAACCAGGGCACATGGTATCTTTTCAACCCTCTTTGGTAGTAGGTAGTAGTCACGCAAAAAGCCGTTGCTACTGTAAGCTCTTCTGTCTGCCTATTCAATGGCAACCACAGTGGTTATTATCTCCAACTCTTCTCTTCCCTTTAGCCCCCGCCTCCTCTACTGCATTCAAATCCCTTTCACTTTTCAACCACTCTCTCCCCCACAACCTCTCCCTTCCTCTTTGTGAATCCTTCCTAAGTCCCACTGGCAGCTGATGAAAAGTTGGAGGGGTGTATGAAGGAACTCACTCTATCCTGTGTAAAGGTGGTTGAGGAAGGCTGCCGAAGTCTCAAGAACGTGCATGGCTGCAGAGGCAGACACTGGATTCTGCAACCCAGTCCCACCACTTACCAACTGGAAGGCTCTGGACAAGCCCGTTTCTTCAACTGCCAAATGGGAGTAATAAAATCAGCTATCTCACAGAGTTGTGAAAATTCAGTGAACTAATGGCCACTGAGCCCTCTGCACAAATCCAACACGGTAAGTTCTCAATAAATGATAGTTTCTCCTAGATCCTCTTCTTGGAAGCAGGAATAAAGGGAGAGGGTGAAAGGTACTTTCTTTAGGTCTCTTTAATGCTAAGACTCCTGCAAAATCTCCCCTACGGGGACAGAAGGAAGGCAACCGATATTAGGAGGGAAGTACTCTACAGATATGTGAGTAAAACAAAGAGTTTTGTCAGACCTCCAAAGTCAGTGCTTCCCCCTTCTTAACTCCCTACAAGGCAGAGCCAAGAGGTCCTCAAAGCCCTTCTTAAAGGATGAACACATGAATATATACATCAAATCCTCCTTCCACAGAGACTCACTGGAGCGAATGAAGAAGGAAAGAGTCCTCCTAATTATTAAGATGCGTTCCTTGAGACTCGGAGAATTAGGAAGGAAACCCCCAAGTCTCAAATACATTTCTCTAAAGAGGCCGAATACTTAATAATCAAGGGAGATTAAAGCAAATGGTAGACACCCTAAAGTCTCCTCCAGGGCTCTTGCACGAAGAGTACAAACTGGTTTCTCCGTAAGCGGGGACGGCCAGGTGGGGAAAGAAAGAAAAAGTGCTTTCGCTGTGGCCCGTGGGACACAGGGGCTTCCCCGGGTCCCTGCCGGGGGGAACGAGGGAGATGGTCTACGCGGGGGAATCCCGGCTCCTTGCGTTGGGGGAGGTGGCCTCGGGCCGGGGCCCCAGGGACTTTCGCTGGCTGGCTGCTTGTCCCCTCACAAGCCCATCTCCTGTAACCGGATTCTCCTAGGACTCCGGGATCTCCCGGAGGTTCGGCCATCACTGGACCCCTCCCCGTACAAGATCTCCTGACAGTCTTCCTTAGTCCCGCGAGCCCTCCGGGTCCCTGCTCTGGGTGTCCCGGCTCGTGGGGTCAGCCCGAAGCCAGCAGGCTCTCCACGCGGGCCTGCCCGGGTCCCTCCCGAGCGCTGCGACCCGCGCGGGCTTACCTGCTGAGACGGCAACTCCACATGCAGGGCCCGCGCGGCAGAACCGGGAGGCAGCGCGGCGGCCGGGCCCGGGGGTGGCGGGGGGACCTGGCCCCCGACCGACGCGGAGGCGCTCATCTGGATCCAGGAGCCGCCAAGCGGCGAGGCGGCCGCTCCTCCGGCATCCGCCGCTGCCTCCTAGCCACGACCTGCCAAGCTCCTGCAGCCTAGAAACCCGCCACCCGACAAGCAGGACTGTTCCGTCCGCACAGTGGCCGCCGCCGCTGCCGCCGCTGGCTAAGGAAGAGCCATATTACCGCAGTGCAACCCCGCCACCCGCCGAGATCCGGCGTGCTCATTGGCTTAGCCCTCAATGGGCGGGACACAACGGCAGAAAAGGGGCGTGCTATTGGGTAGAAGGTCTGTCCATCGCTGGCCGTACTGAACTTGGGGGCGGAGGGACTCGAGGATGGCCTCAATTGCGTCTGTCAAGCCGGAATGAAACCTGGGGCGTTGCTTCTTTTTTTCCCAGTCTAATTGGTTCATTCACTACCAACGGGCAGAGGGTCCTGGTGGAGGCGGGAGGGCCATTGCACGAGGTCGCTGTCAATTGTCAGTAAAGGGAAAGAGGGGTGGGGTCTTGATTAGGTAGAGTGCGCGCCTGGGCTCCGGTGTCACGTGCAGGAGGCGGGAGAGTCACCTGATTAGGGAGTATCGGTCTTCTGAGCCACTTCCGCCCTCGCTGGTTGCCGTGGTAACAGGCCTCCGGTGGAGGGCGGGGACCCGCTTGGAAGCCAGCTGGGTGGCGATCACTTGTCTGCCTTGGCAGGCCCCTTGCGCAGTCTTTTCCCGGCGTTCTCATCAGCGTGCAGGGATTGAAAAGGAATGCTTTATGGTTCAGCGGATAGCCACCACGCAGGATGCACTGGGACCTGAGAACCGTTGGGCAGTCCCACCAGCTTTTTCGTGACCAACTCCAACCCACAAGTACACGCCCTTTCTCGCACTCCACTAACTAGTACGCTGAGCTACAAGGTGTGCCAGGCACCCAGGACGCCAGATTCACCGCTTCAGGTGGGCTGCTTGTGCCGTCCCTAGAAAGCCTTTGCTACTTATCCATCAGTCTTAGCTGGGGCAGGAGTCCCTTCTTCCAAAAGGCTTCTCTGAGCCTCTCTGGGACCTTGAGTTAGGAATTTTGACCGTACCGTAGGTCTGGATTATCCTTTTTTTTTTTTTCTTTTTTCTTTTTTTTTTAACACTGCCTCATTCTTTCGCCCGGGCTGGAGTGCAGTGGCAAAATCACGGCTCACTGCAGCCTCGACGTCCTGGGCTCAAGTGATCCTCCCACCTAAGCCTCCTAAGTAGCTGGGAATACAGGCATATGCCACCGCACCCAGCTAATTTTTAAATTTTTTGTAAATATGGGGTCCTGGCCATATTTCCCAGGCTAGTCTCAAACTCCCAGGCTCAAGCGATCCTCCAGCCTCGGGCTCCCAAAGTTTTGGGATTACAGGCATGAGCCACTGGGCCTGGCCACATTGTCTTTTAACACACACAAGCAGCCACCCTCCTTCCCACATACACACAATTACTGTGAATTCCTCAAGCAAAAGGACCTTGTCTGATTAATCTCTGGATCCCCAGTGCCTGACAGAGAATCGGGAAAATTTTTTTTTTTTTTTCAGTGAAGGCCTAGCTCAAATGCCACCTCTTCCATGAAGACTTCTGTGATCCACAATGATAGCATCTCCAGTAATTCCTTCTATAATAAATAGCATGAGTCATTCTGCAGGATATTGATCTTCCTTTTTTTGCTCCCAGGCTGAATTTTTCCACCACCTGGATGAACATAGCAGAAAGAACATAGTGTTTTAGAGTCAGACATAATAGGAATCAGGCACTTTGGAATCTTGGCTCTGCCACCTTTGAGCTATGTATCCCAAGGCAAGTCAGTTCACCTCTCTCAGCTTTAAAATAGTAGTAGGGTTGCTGTAGGGATTAAAGTAAATCAACATGTAAAGTGCCCACACAGGACCTGGCATATAATAGTTGCATTTTAAATTTTTTAAACGAAATGTAAGCATACTATCTTTCCAGGGTGTTCAGAAGCCTGAAAAACACCCTGGATCTTTTCTCAGAGCTGCATCACAAAGATGTCACACCGTCTCCTGTTCTGACACACCGAGTGGTCCCTCATGGCTGGAGTCTGGGGTGTGGGGTCAGGTGATTGCTGAGAAAGGAGTTGCTTGGTCAGGTGTTTGTTGAGAAAGGAGTCACTGGGAAATCCCAAATATTATCTGATTGAACTCATGTGGTGCCAAGATCTGGGGGAAAATTCACAGAAAACACATTTCTGTTTCTAAGCTGTATTAGTTTTCTGAGGCTGCCATAACAAATTATCACAAACTGGTATCTTGAAACAACAGAAATTCTCTCATTGTTCAGTTTAGGATCCTGAAATCAAGGTGTCAGGAGGGCTGTGCTCTCTCAGAAGGCTCTAGGGGAGAATCCTTCCTTACATATTCCAGTTACTGGTGGCTCCAGTTTCCTAGCTAGTGGTGCATAACTCCAATCTCTGCCTTCATCATTGCATGGGCTTCTCTTATTCCTATGTCTCTGTGTGTGTGTGAGATGGAGTTTCACTCTTGTTGCCCAAGCTAGAGTGCAATGGTATGATCTCGGCTTACCGCAACCTCCGCCTCATGGGTTCAAGTGATTCTCCTGCCTCATCCTCCCAAGTAGCTGGGATTACAGGCATGCGCCACCACGCCTGGCTAATTTTGTAGTTTTCGTAGAGATAGGATTTCTTCATGTTGGTCGGGCTGGTCTCGAACTCCTGACCTCAGGTGATCTGCCCACCTCGGCCTCCCAAAGTGCTGGGATTACAGGCATGAACCACTGCAGCTGGCCACTTCTTCTTTCTTTTATGAAGACATTGTCTTTAGGCCCTGGCGCAATGACTCACGCCTGAAATCCCAGCACTCTGAGAGGCTGAGGTGGGTGGGTCACTTGAGGTCAGGAGTTTGAGACCAGCCTGGCAAATATGACGAAACCCAATCTCTACTGAAAATACAAAAATCAGCCCGGCATGGAGGCCGGCGCCTATAATCCCAGCTACTCAGAAAGCTAAGACAAGAGAATTGCTTGAGCCCGGGAGGCGGAGGTTGCAGTGAGTCGAGATCGTGCCACTGCACTGCAGCCTGGGTGACAGAGCGAGACTCCATCTCAAAAGAAAAAAACTGTCTTTAGATTTAGGGCCCACCTAGATAATTTAGATTTCATCTTGAGATTATTCATTACATCTGCAAATACTTTTTTTTCCCAAATAAGGTCATATTAACAGGTTCCAGGGGTTAGAACATGGACATATCTTTTAGGGGGCCATAACTCAGTTAAGAAAATGGACCTAGAGAAAGAACACAGAATCACTTCTTTCTCCTTTGGGCATCAGTTCTGAACTTTATCACTTCATTCATTCAATAAATGCACACTGAAGGCTTCTCTTATCAAGCTCTTTGCTAGATGCTGGGAAATCAGACCGAGATCCATCCCTAGAGGAGCTGCCCAACCCCTTATATGGGAGTCCAGTAAACAAAGAGTAGGTCAGGCACAATGGCTCACACTATAATCCTAGCACTTTGGGAGGCTGAGGTAGGCAGATTGCTTGAGCCCAAGAATTTGGGACCAGCCTGGACAACATGGCAAAACCTTATCTCTACAAAAAATACAAAAATTAGCCCGGAATGTAGTTTTTACCTCTAGTCCCAGCTACTGAGGAGGCTAAGGTGGGAGGATTACCTGGGCCTGGGGAGGCTACTGTGAGTCAAGATTATGCCACTGTACTCCAACTTGGGCAATAGAGTGAGACTCCACATCAAAAATAAACAAAGAGTGATCATCCAGTTACTCACTGCTGGGTCTGAGGGAAGCCCAAAGGCAGTGGGAGCCAGAGAAAATAGTTGAGAGTCAGATTTCACAGTGAAGGTGACATTGAAACAGGGTATTGAAGGGCCAATAAGAGTTCACCAGGTCAGGAGGGAGGGAGGAAAGGATATTCCAGCGTAGAGCAGGATCCATTCTTTCCACAAGCCTTTACTGAGGTTCACCTTTGCACAGGCTAGCTACTCAGTGCTGGAAATGCAGAGCTCAAGTAAACAACCCGTCTCCCACTTTTCCCAAATGCCGCAAACACTAGGAGAACTAGAACTCTCATCCCTAGGGGCATTGAGAAGAACTCAAAAGCCTGCTGCTTGCAAAGTATTCAAGATAATGTAAAGCATTTAACACACTGTCTTGAAGATAGTACATTTTTAATAAATACTAGCTGTCATTATTTTCATATGTCCTATTTCATTCTAAAAACTTTGTTGTTGCTGTTGTTGAGACAGTCTCTCTCTGTGACTCAGGCTGGAGTAGAGTGGCGCTATCTCAGCTCACTGCAACCTGTGCCTCCCGGGTTCAAGTGATTCTCCTGCCTCAGCCTCCCGAGTAGCTGAGACTACAGGCATGCGCCACCACGCCCAGTTAACTTTTTTTGTATTTTTAGTAGAGACAGGATTTCACCATGTTGGTCAGGCTGGTCTCGAACTCCTGACCTCAAATGATCCACCCGCCGCAGCCTCCCAAAGTGCTGGGATTACAGGCGTGAGCCACCGTGCCTGGCCCTAAAAATTCTTTTATTATTGGGATCCTATTTCATAATATGGCTGTTTGCTTCAATGTAAAAATATTTTAAATCACAGAATTAAATTATTATAATATTTATGTAGTGCTATATATCCCCCAGAGAAACATCTATCCAAGTTTAGAGGACACAGATTATAAGGTGGCCAAATGCAATATATATGCAATGATAGAATGGGGTCCAAGGTCAAGTGGTAAGAGTGACCAACTCTTCAGGAGCTGGTGGGCAAGGTCAGAGCAGGCTTCACCAAAGTTATAAAGGATGATTGGGAGATGAACAATAGGTGTTTAGACCGGTTTAGCTCGGGAATAGCTGGTGTTTTAACAGCCAGTTAGTACCATGTTGGGTATTTAAGTCAAACATTCAGTTTCCAGGCCAAAAACCTAAGCCTACCCCAATCCATTTTGCCTCCACTTCCTCCTCTCACCTCATGGGCCTGATGCATTGGGTAAACAAGAGCAAGGCAGGTCAGATGGGTCTTTCAGTGTCTCAAACTGTATTGAGTTAAATCTATCGCCTTCCTTTCAACAGAGCCCTTTTTCTTCCATTCACTTACTTGTCTAATCAAACACCCATCAGACCTTTGCCAGGTGTCCAGCCTGGGCACTACGTTTCAAAAAATGATGCGCATAGAATTCCTAACTGAAAGGAGATCACAGCTCATTCGGTACAAAGTGGTAAGTACAATAATAGAGATGATGTATAAAGTACAGTGGAAGCACTAAGAGAAAGTTGCTAACTGTCACGTGTTGTCCAGGAAGGCTTCCTAGGAGAGGAGAGTATCCTACACAGGAGGAACAGCATGAGCAAAGGCACAGGGGCAGAGGATGTGGCAGCAGCAGAGTCTAACATGGCTGAAACAAAGGCTGCATGGGAGAGCAACAGGCAAAGAGGTTGGAAGAAGAAGCTAGTGCCGGGTGAGAAGAACCTGACTACCAGGCCGAAGAACATGAGTTTCATCGTGGGCAACAGAAAGCACTTAGAA